AACTCACTACAAAATAATCCCAATTAATCATTTAAACACCTGACAAATAATTTTAAAAAATTTAACATTTCGCCAAATGTGCTGTATTTCAAAATAGCGAGTCTGTAAAAGAAACAAAAGGGACATAAAGGGTCATTTTGCATAAAACCTGCAGTGACAGAGTCACGAGGAGCTTCAGACAGACTGAAGTAAGTGGATAGCCAATTGAATAATAAAGAAAAGGGACCCAGAGCTTGGCAGAGAGCCTGCAGACAGACAGTCACAGTATAGATTGAGTTATTAAAATGAACCTTAAGGAGGTGTGCATTTCATATGCTTTGAAACGACTGAGAAAGACATCGAGGGAAGGAAATGTAATCAGGGCAAAGATACAGCAAATGGGAAATTAGTGCCCAGTTCCGTAATCAATTTAATATGAAATGGCATGAGCTGCTTCGACCTGAGAGGAAAATACTAATGGAGCTCCATCATTAAGATGAGCGAGCGTTGCATATAGCCTTAAACCACAGCCACCCACACACTACTGAATCACTGAGACAACAAGGAATTTCCAAAGATGTGAACACAAAAGTAGGAGAGAGAGACTCAGGACTGTTCATTCAATGGACAAAAAACCTAACTTTCAGTACCGACAGTCACCCATACATCCCCTCCCAATTTAATACCGCTTCAATTGGTGGAAGTCATGACTAAATACACCTCATATTGATTTACGTGTGTACATCCTTGAGCGCTCTGATGAAGTGCTTCTTTTTTGAGACCTAGAATATCTTACAGGTCAGTGCTGGAGCATCCTGCCTATTTCTCATCACAGTGTTGTACAGGAATCTTTGGAGGAGTGCCCAGGCTTTTATATTTTTGATTAAGCTGAACTAAACTCCCTTTTGGCATGGCAGCTTTTTTTTTTTCATTTAATGAAGTTTTTAACGCCTGCCTTCATTGTCTACTTGTTTTCTCTCTGTTTCAGAAGTTCACATGTGTCTGTATTGTCTCTGACTTGGGCCTTTCTTCAACATGTCTGTAAGACATAGAAGATGGAGATAACATTTTGATTTAATTTTACACTACTGTGTAAAATGCATAGGAAAGCAATGCTGGAAAATCATTTTCCAGATGCTAGGCCACTAAAGCACAAGGTATATAGGCTGTGATGTGACAGGAGTATAATTGTTTTTGTTAAAGGGCGAGTTTTAAATATGGAAAAGGGACAGCAGTGATGCATGGATACTGGAAATATCATAAATTCCTTCTTTCACCTGTTCTGTACAATAACATCATAGACACCAGACATGGCAACAGGATAATGGATAAATTTGGAAATGAACCGCCTGAGGAAAGTTGTATTTAAGTTCTGGGGAAGTGATTACCATGCAAAGGATCAGGTGAGTCTAACTAACAAAATGCATGACAGATGATCAGGCACATGAACATAGGGAGCTGGGATAAAATGCTTAACTGTTCAGAGTATTAAGGAATAGAAATAAGATTTTAAACACAATCTAGGTTATTAATTTTTTATGTTAGGTCTGTGCCGTACCTCAACTTTAAAATTAATTAATTATTTTTTTTCCCAATTGCTTTACGGCAGAGATCTGTAAAGCAGTGCAGCTCGTCCGTTGTCAGAAGAATCCGACAACCTGTCTCGGTCGTCGGCTGATCAACGTCATCACTTTTGAGTTGATCGCTTCGTCAATTGATAGCATCTGCTCTGTGTTAGACCGGAACAGATGCAATCAGATGCAAATTGATATTTGTGCATTCCTCCTGCCTGAAATGCACAAATACTGTATCAATTTCATTTACTTTGTCAGGAATTGGCTGTGAGGCGGTGAGGTAGACGCGGTGGGAGTGAGAGAAGTGACGAGTCACGAATACACAATCCAGGCAGCACAGGTGAGCAGTGGCAAGGAGCTCAAAGTGGTTCAAACTTCAAGGCAGCACAATTTAGGGAACGGCAATGACTCTCACCTTGGTAGTAACTGGCATAAAGCCAAAGACATGTGACGCGACAATAGACGAGGAAACACAGACACGGGTGGCATTAAGGGAGTAATCAAGGAAAGACCCCACAGTCTCGACAATCTGGGGTTATTCACTGTTTGAGCTGAGTACATTTTTGTCACCACTCAGACCCTTAGCTACTGTTCAACCTATTAATTTGGACCAACAAACAGCGTCAGATGCTGTACACAAACTGGGACGGCGCAGAGTTCAGCTTACATGTTTGAATTGATGGATTTCAAAGGAAAACGGGTAAACTGGAGAAGGCTTGTGACGCAGAGACGCGGATAATGGAGAGCGATGCCTCTTTAATGGAGGAAGCTTTCTGGCATATGATGGAGAACACCAGGGCTATCTGCAGGTAGGACATAAAAAAAAAAAAAACATTGATAAAAGGTTTTCTCTTGGCAGCGTTTAGCTGCGACTGTTGTTGACGGCATTTCAATGAAATTGCTGCTTGATTTACTGGAGGGCTAAATTTCAGAAAGTACTGCATTTTATATTGATATTGGTAAATAATATGAGTATTTGTTCACATGATACAGTAAGTGAGGGAGACTAAAAAAGTCATGTGATTTAGCAAAGAGAAAAAGAAGTCAAAGGTCCTTGGAGTAGATTTAAACATCCTGTTGAATGTGAGAGCGGCCACAGAGAAGGATGTTGTCACGGCGGTGTCCAGCGTTTCAAAGTCTGTGAGATAAAGAAGTTAGATCATCACATATGGATATAAATATCTATACATGGATGGATGGACCACGATAAGCCGAGATTTTTCAGCACTTGTGAGCTGCATGCTGCAAAAATATGAAACGATCCGAGTCTTCCTCCTCCCTGAATATCGCTGAATACTAAAACGCAGCTGATAAAAGTCTGGGAAGACAAATCATTTCTGTTTTGAAAGGAACTGCAACATGGGTGACATTTCTCCTGGGCCCGGAGGGAAACTCATTTTAGCTGCTATTGAGATACTGCAAGCAATCTGTAACCAGAGGAGGAAATGACACAGCTGCAGTGTGTGGCTGATGAAGAGTAAGAGAGGGGGACAGCATCATTTAGTGACACATAGGCAGTCTAAATTTAGCCCACCGACTCAAAATGCGGTCTTGACGTGAAAAACAGACACAATCGCGTCCTTTTGTCAAATGCGGCAGATTCTTCTCGCTTCTCCTTCCGCAAGTCCATCAGCAGCAAGTAAGAGCAACACAATGAGAAAAAATATATTTCTGGACTGTCTCTTTAAATACAGCGCAGTTTACAGTAATATGTTCCCTTCTGAGAGCCATTAAGACGGAGTTAGGTTTGAAGCTGACATTTAGGAGAGCAAACTCCCTGACTGCATTTGATCTTAAGGCATTTATTTGCCTGGGTGGCATGGCAAACAAAGGCCTCCCCCACTCTCAATGAAATGCCAAACCATCAGCAGAAAAATGCCAGAGATGAACATGTCGGATCGGCTTCTTTCACAGAACCCTCGAATCAAGGCAGAATAATCCCTACATGTATGTTTGAAGTCCACGTTGATCTTCACACGTTATTTTTTTACGGAAAAAACCAGAGACGAGCCAAAAGCCTGTCTGTAAAAAAATATACATGTGTGGTTGTAATATTCAGCAGATGAAATATCAAAAAATCTGATCAAATAATTGACCTTATTACCTACAATAATAAAGAGAATAATGCTGGTGAGTTGTCCAGGATGGAGTCGGTGACGCTCTCCATAAGGAGAATAAGTGAAAAACGTCCAAAAAAGGTTTCTAGCTGGTCACTGAGTTCTGTCTGCAATCACTTTAATGGCATGTAGAGTGGAAGAAAAAGGTGTTGGGGAAAAAAGATGAACTGCAGCCTACAGAGAACTGAGAAGAAAAACCAATAGGAGCAACACAAGAGTCCAGGAGGCCATATGAAGGCAGAACAGAGGCTGCTAGTGGATAAAACTACTGACCATAAGGAAAATTGTTAAGTCAAGTGCGCCACCCAGAGGTGAAAAGTAAAAAAAAAAAAAAACTTTTTTTTTTCTATTTTTTTTGGGGGGGGGAATCAAAATAAATGCCTCTTAACACATGATTAATTGAGCGTCCATCCAGATTCTGAAGTAAATGGTAAATGGCTTGTACATGTACAGCAGTTTCTCAAGTGTGGAAGAACGCAAAGAGCTCCACAGTCGTTCACCCTTTGACTCGCACACTCGCACTCTGATGGTGGCAAGAAGCTACTGGATAGCAGTCAGGACCTCTGACCCCCCCACCAGCAGGCAAGGCAGGCGAAGTGTCAAACCAGCAACCTGCCGATTGCAGGGCAAATTCACTTTGTGAGAAAAAAATCCACATCAAAACGTGATTTAAGAATGTAATTATTTAAACTAAAGAAGAAAAAAAAAGTATTTAGGTTTTAAACTTCCTTTTATGATATAGAGAGCTAAAAAAAAATCTTAATAAATGCACCATCACGTGTTTACCTATAGATGGCACCATACAGATATCAAAATAACTCATTGCTGATCCATCAACTCAGGTGAGGAAAGCTGAAGAAGATTGAATCAACATTAGTCGAGCCTTTCAGACATAGAAAGTTCAGGATGTTATTCTCTGGAGGCTTCAAAGCTTCTTTAGTTAGAGCTGAAACGTTGAGTGTTTACTCAAAACCACACAATAGACAAGAGATAGACGTTGGTGAAATGTCTTTATTTTAAATTTAGAAGGACATTAAAAACAAACAAAAAAACTAAAACAAATGACAAACTTTATCTGAAAAGTATTTCCTCAGAACATTTCAGGATGATTGATATGTCAAATAAACAATAAAGAAATGAACAATGACGCGTTCTTATTTCCTTTCAACCAAAACAAACAGAAGCAGATTGTTAACAAATATGTACAATTACAAAAATATCAAAGGTTTTTTTTATACATTTGCTGGTTTATACATATTAGGCGAAATTGCAAATGTCAAGATTATAAATGTCGCGTTTGAAGTGGACAAACATTTTCTGCATGCAAAAAATAAAAAAAATAAAAAAATAAAGCTCAGAATCAAATTATGTTCTTTTCTTGTTCACTTCAGCATAGAGACCCTCCGGACTGTCAGCAGACACTTTCACCTCCGCGTACACCATCTCCTGCTGCTCTCCGTCCTGATCTGAGGCGGAGGAAGCTGGGAGGAAGCAGGAAGCTGGGAGGAAGTTCAGCTCTGCATAATGAAGTTCTTCCTCTGTCTTTTCAACTCTTATTGGAAACGTAGGATCCTCATTTCTCTGCTTCGATAGAAAATATATATTTTAGTCTTTATCTTGATCGCCTCGATTGTACCAAACAAGAGAAGCTGCATTTTTGCTCACCTGAGTCTGTTGAGGAGTTGAACGTCTGAACTTGAACAACCTGGAGGACAATGGAGAGATGTCAGAACCATTCTGGTGAGTTTCAGGAGACGATACAAACATCCAGACTGAGAGAGTGAAAGCTGACATGAAACATCAAGAAAAAAAATACAAAAGGAGAAGCTGTAAAAACATTGGTTTGATTGGCAGATTCCAACTTTCACAGTTGAAAACAGCTTGGGAGAAAAAAAAAATCCCTCATTCTTGATTTAAAATCAGATCCAGGTGAAATGCTAGTGTTTTTAAACAACGTAGATGTTATTTTTATTTTTTTACTTTTAATACTCACCAAGCAACAAAGGCCACAAGACACAAGAAACAAATACATCCGGCCACAACGGGCAGCCAGCGAAGAACTGTAGCTGTTGGACCTTGGGAAAACAATTAGTAAATATTTAAACCTGGAATAATAAGAATTAGACTTTTAAACTGAGTGGATTTAATAAAATTAAATATTAACCCAGCTGTTCATTGATCATATTCACAGAGATTTTTGATGATGTTTGATTCCCCAGATCATTTGTGGCCACACAGTAATACTCTTCTCCCTCAGAAACATTGAAGCCATAAATCTGCCCCACAGACACATTAATGTCTCCATGTTCACTGATCCTGAACCAGGTGAATGTGGGTGGAGGTTTGGCTCTGCTGGAGCAGCTCAGCTCCACCCAGCTACCTGCTGACACCAAACCTGATGGACTGATGGATGCTGAGGTGTCTTTAGGAGCATCTGAGGAAAATGAGACACATGAACTTTATTGATCAGAACCAGCTGAACCATGACCTGCTGACAGGATCACTTACATGAAACACTGAGAGTCACTTCTGTCTCTGCTGTCTTGATTCCTCCAATCACAGGATATCTGGCAGAACATCTGATGTTGTATCCATCATGTGTGTCTGACAGAGTGATGATCTCCTGGATTTTAGTTGTAAAGGTTCCATCTGTGTTTTTCTCTGTGTGTCTGAGAGAGTCTTGTTGGAGATTCCAGGTGAGTTCAGGAGGTGAGTTTGGACAGGGAGTGAAAGCTGAGCAGGTTACAGTGATCGACTGATGCTCCTTCAGGTCAGAGGTCACATTAATGCTGGGACTCCAGGGAGAATCTAAAATTTCATAAAAGACAGTTTAGAAAATGACCATTGACCATTTGGATGTTTCAGTTGAAGTGGTGCAGATGACAAAAGCTTTCAATGATTGATGTCTCTTATTTTAAATAGACTCTGACACAGATTAGAAAGTTTACATCAAAATATGGTTTGAATTTCTACATAGAATAGAAGAATAAGGGAAGATTTAAAAACTAAGATAATATGATTATAAAGGTTTTTTCTTACCCTTAACTCTTATATCAAGAGGATGACATTCAGCTGTTGCCCTAAAGATTCCCTTCTCAATACGTAGGTAGTATGTGTCTGTATAACTGGTCTCTAAATCAGGAAACAGAGTGGTGCAGTCTCCCTCACTCAGGTTTCCAGTCATCTTCAGTGAATATTTGTTAACTGACCCACTGCTGTTGAAAATAACAGCTTCTGGATCCTGATTCAACTTTGTAGTAGCTCTGAACCAAACTCCATTGATGGGTCCATTGTTGTTATATGTATAATGTGTTGAACTGAAGCTGCATGGGATTTGCAAACAAGATCCACTGAGAGCTTCGATCTGTCCAGACATGTTGGCAATGAGATCTGGATTGGGACAACCAGCCAAATCACCTGTGAAAAGAGAAAAATGATGAAAATAATTTGGCGCAAATCTTGACTGCAGAGAAATTTCCTGATCCACAAATGTCAATTCAGCTGCGTCGTGTTACATCATTTCTCGCCTTTCGGACGAGAAATGATGTTATGTCTGTGATGTCTGTGCATAAAATGAAGAGAACAAACATCCCACCTGGACCGAAGAAGACACTCAGTAACATGCTGACTGTCAGCATGTTCTCACACAGAGCCGCCATCAGATTGTCGTCCTTCCTCTTGTTGAATGGAAACTTGATGAAAACAACTGCTTTTCTTTGGTGAGCTAGTTTAAGAAACTCTAAGCAAAACATTCATATTTATCACCATATTGTCAATTTCATAAAGCGATGAAAGTGGACTGCTTTGGGTTGGGTTTATGCATTGAAAACGTTCTCTGTAGAAGCTTAAAATTCAAATCGAACTTGATTTTTTCATCATGAAACTATGATTCATTGTACAAAATAATTTAGCAGGAATCATGAAAACGATCAAGAACACATTAATATGAACTTACCAATAATTCGCTGTAAAAACGGAAAGTCTTTGATAATTAACGGATCAGCAGCAGAACAAACACACACATCCTGTTTCTTCACAGAGAATGGCACAGAAAACCAGATTGGATGTTTTTTAAAGAACATCTCAGAGGAAGAGGAAGTCACATTAATGCAACATTATTCTGTCGTCATCATGTACACGCTATTTCACAGCTAACTCACAATAATCAACTAAAACATCAGGTATAATCTTCTCTCTTGTAACTGTTGCGATATTTGGTCCAGGTAAATTAGAGACTTTTCTCTTTGGTAAAAGACATTTACAGACATCAGTGATGACATTTGAGTTTATCTTTTCGCTGCACCTTTCAGAACTTCATTTTTTTTTTTTTGTTACCTCAAAAACCAACATTTTCTGCATTTTGCTTCAATTCCGTGACACAATCGTAGTGGTTCAGATGGAGAAGTAACAGCGAAAAAGCTTCCTGCAAACATTGGTAACAGTGTTAAACTGAAACGATGTATCATCCATAAAAACACACAACAAACATAACTGATCCTGATTATTATTTCAAACTCTGAATTTTTAGCTCTGTAAGTTTTGATTTTATTACACAGTGACGTCAGCGACAGCAGTCAGCGAAATAAAATATACAAATCTGACACATTTATTCAGCACATAACTTCGAAGATTGTGTGCAGAATATTTTCAGATGCAGTGTATGTGTTAGTTAATGCTGTGCAGCTAAATTAATGTAGATTTTTTTAAAATATATTTATTATCAAAGCATATTGTCCCCTATATGTTTCAAAAAGAATAATTAAAGTTACTTCTAGTTCTTGTTCTTTTTTATGGCGCCCCTGAACTGTTGGCGCCCTCAGTTTTCGCCTATGCTGCTCAGTCCAGGGACCAGCCTTGGTGTTCAGTTTGAAACATCTTTAATTATTTTCCTTTATGTTTTTAGTTCATTAAAATCCTTGTAATGATCTTGAAGTGCTTTATATCTTTGCTTAATATGCTGTCAGATAAATCCAGTGTCTTCTTTGTGTTTTTTTCTTTTTTCCAGAGGAAGGTTTAGATGATTTCTCATTTTTCGTGTAATACAGCATCTCTCGTGTTGTGGTACTTACAAAAAACGTAGACAAACAACTTGTTAGTCATTCAGATCAGCAGTCAAGAAATTGACAGCTTAGCCCTAAACAATGGAAACAAAAATCAACTAATATTCATAGAGTGGTGAAAAATGAAGGCATTTTTTTTGACACTGTGTTTAATGTCAGACTCTTCACTATTCAGTAAAGAAGCTTAAAAGAGGAACTGCCTGAATACATCAAAATGCATGAACAAAATTATGTAACACAAGATATATAATGCTATAAACAGTATGTGCTATATATATATATATATATATATATATATATATATATATATACATATATATATATATATATATATATATATATATATATATATATATATATATATATATATATATATATATGAAGGGCGGACAATCCTAATCCAGAAGGATCCATCAAAGGGTCCAGTCCCACCCAACTACCGACCAATAACCTGCCTCTCCACAACCTGGAAGCTCATGTCAGGCATCATAGCGGCCAAGATAAGCAAACACATGGATAAACACATGAGCACGGCACAGAAGGGTATCGGTGTAAATAGCAGAGGAGCCAAACACCAACTCCTCGTAGACCACACAGTTGCCCGAGACTGCAAAACCCGACACACCAACCTGTGCATGGCTTGGATTGATTACAAGAAAGCCTATGACTCAATGCCGCATACTTGGATCATTGAATGCTTAGAGATGTATAACATCAACAGGATTCTGAGAGCCTTCATTGCAAACTCGATGAGGCTGTGGAAAACCACCCTTGAAGCCAACTGCAAACCACTTGCACAAGTGTCCATCAAATGTGGCATATACCAAGGAGATGCTCTGTCCCCGCTACTGTTCTGCATAGGCCTGAACCCCCTCAGCCAAGTTATCAACAAGACTGGCTACGGATACAGACTCAAAAATGGGGCCAATATCAGTCACCTACTCTACATGGATGACATCAAGCTGTACGCCAAGTGTGAGCGAGACATCGACTCACTGATCCACACCACCAGGATCTACAGCACTGACATTGGGATGTCATTCGGACTAGAGAAGTGGTCGGCTGGTCACAAAGAGGGGGAAGGTCATCCACACAGAAGGGGTCTCACTCCCAGAAGGAACAATAGCAGACATAGAGGACAGTTACAAGTACCTAGGTATACCACAAGCAAATGGCAACCTCGATGAGGTCACAAGGAAAGGAGCCACAGCTAAATACCTCCAACGAATAAGGCAAGTCCTGAGAAGCCAGCTCAATGGCAAGAACAAAATCCGTGTGATAAACAGCTATGCCTTGCCAGTAATCAGATACCCTGCTGGAATAATTAGCTGGCCAAAGGAGGCCAGCTAATTATGTTTCCTTTATGTTTTTAGTTCATTAAAATCCTTGTAATGATCTTGAAGTGCTTTATATCTTTGAAGCTTTATATCTTTGCTTAATATGCTGTCAGATAAATCCAGATAAATGCTGTCAGATAAATCCAGATAAATCCACAGATATTAAGACCAGAAAGCTACTAACAATGCATGGAGGGTTCCATCCCAAATCCAGCACCCTGAGACTGAACACGAGCCGCAAGGAAGGAGGCAGAGGACTAGTGAGTGTGAGAACCACTGTCCAGGACGAAACAACTAAGATCCATAAATACATCAGGGACAAAGCCTCAACAGACAATGTGCTCAGTGAATGTCTCAGACAACAGGGAACGGAGGTTGAGGTGCCAGAGATACCATCATGGGAGGACAAACCCCTACATGGGATGTACCACCAGCAAATAACCCAAGTGGCTGATATAAGTAAATCCTACCAATGGCTGGAAAAAGCTGGACTCAAGGACAGCACAGAGGCCCTCATCCTGGCCGCCCAGGAACAGGCCCTAAACACCAGAGCAATAGAGGCCCAGATCTACCACACCAGACAAGACCCAAGGTGTAGGTTGTGCAAGGAGGCCCCTGAGACAGTCCAGCACATCACAGCAGGGTGCAAGATACTGGCAGGGAAAGCGTACATGGAGCGACATAACCAAGTGGCAGGCATAGTGTACAGAAACATCTGTGCAGAATATGGACTGGAAACCCCAAGATCAAAGTGGGAAACACCCCCAAAGGTGGTGGAGAACGCCAGAGCTAAGATCCTGTGGGACTTCCAGATCCAGACAGACAAAATGGTAATGGCGAACCAACCAGACATTGTCGTAGTGGATAAACATCAGAGGAAAGCCGTTGTGGTAGATGTAGCAATACCAAGTGATTGCAACATCAGGAAAAAGGAGCACGAGAAACTGGAGAAATACCAGGGCCTCAGGGAAGAACTGGAGAGGGCCTGGAAGGTGAAGACCACAGTGGTGCCTGTGGTCATCGGGGCCCTCGGGGCAGTAACCCCAAACTGGAGCAGTGGCTACAACAGATCCCAGGAACAACATCAGACATCTCAGTCCAGAAATGTGCAGTCCTTGGCACAGCCAAGATACTGCGCAGAACCCTCAAGCTCCCAGGCCTCTGGTAGAGGACCCGAGCTCAGAGGATAAGAACCACCCGCGGTGGGTGAGAAGGGAATTTTTTTTTTATATAAAATATGACAACATTTAGAAATATAAGTAAAGCGCTCGGTCTCTTTTGGTCTAAAAATTAATTTATTTATTTCTGGCAAAAAAGAACGGAATACAGTTCACTATTAATCTTCTGTTATCTTTGAAACAGCTGGCTGCGTTCAGTCTGAATCAGTGAAAAAGTTCTTCCTCAATGAACGCTGACAGCAGAAACAAAAAACAAACCATGGCCAAGAAACAGATGAATATTTTGTGCTGCATCTCAGTTTTTCCTCGCTTCCATTTTAAGAAGATTTTCACGCCAAGTTCAAGTGTCATCGGCTTGTCTTGAATCAAAAATCAACTCTTGTACAGTCAAATTGAAATGCAAGGAAAAAAGGAAGAAATTGCCCCTCTGGCAGTCTCCATGTGGCTCATGATGTCTGAATCTCCATCACTCTGTTGCCCTGGTCTGGTTCTTCTGCATCCTGTGGACATGAAACAGCAAAGTGTTGCTGCTCTGTGGGAAATTTACTGCAGTCAAAAATGTTCCAGAGATAAAATGATGAACTTTCAGAGTGCGAGAGTAACTACTTAGTCCTGCTGTATTAACAATAAAACCATCAAAGGAAAAAGATTCAAACATACATTTATACATTCTGACTGACTCTTGGCCTCCAGCTTATCATTTTAAATCATTTTAAAGTTAAGAAACTCTTCTCCCTTACCTTTCTTGATCTGCCGGATAATCTAAACCAGCTGGAAGAAAAATGAGATGCTGGTCAGTATGACAGACGTTAAACCCCAGCATGAAACAGAGACCAGCAGCAAAGCATCAACTCAAAGAAAAGTGAGTCTCACCACTCAAAGATGATGACTGCACTGCAGAGGATTATGATTCCCAGGGTCTTCACTGTAGCACAGAGAAAAAGTCCAAACACTTGATGATCTGTAACAGAACAGTGCGATCAGATCGTCTTGAACGTTTTGGCACAAATTCATCGGTTTATATTCCTGCTGTGTGCAGTCAGAAACTTAGAAAATTTGTGTTTAATTAACCACAATATAAATCCATGAAGAAATCTTCAAAGAATTTGAAACACGGAATCAAACTCAGATTTACCTTCAAAACTAAGAAGTACTGATGATTTCTGATTCCCCAGATCATTTGTGGCCACACAGTAAAACTCTTCTCTCTCAGTGGCATTGAAGCCATAAATCGGCCCCACAGACACATTAATGTCTCCATGTTCACTTTTCCTGAACCAGGTGAATGTGGGTGGAGGTTTGGCTCTGCTGGAGCAGCTCAGCTCCACCCAGCTACTTGCTGACACCAAACCTGATGGACTGATGGATGCTGAGGTGTCTTTAGGAGCATCTGAGGAAAATGAGACACATGAACTTTATTGATCAGAACCAGCTGAACCATGACCTGCTGACAGGATCACTTACATGAAACACTGAGAGTCACTTCTGTCTCTGCTGTCTTGTTTCCTCCAATCACAGGATATCTGGCAGAACATCTGATGTTGTATCCATCATGTGTGTCTGACAGAGTGATGATCTCCTGGATTTTAGTTGTAAAGGTTCCATCTGTGTTTTTCTCTGTGTGTCTGAGAGAGTCTTGTTGGAGATTCCAGGTGAGTTCAGGAGGTGAGTTTGGACAGGGAGTGAAAGCTGAGCAGGTTACAGTGACAGACTGATGCTCCTTCAGGTCAGAGGTCACATTAATGCTGGGACTCCAGGGAGAATCTAAAATTTCATAAAAGACAGTTTAGAAAATGACCATTGACCATTTGGATGTTTTCGTTGAAGTGGTGCAGATGACAAAAGCTTTCAATGATTGATGTCTCTTATTTTAAATAGACTCTGACACAGATTAGAAAGTTTACATCAAAATATGGTTTGAATTTCTGCATAGAATAGAAGAATAAGGGAAGATTTAAAAAATAAGATAATATGATTATAAAGGTTTTTTCTTACCCTTAACTCTTATATCAAGAGGATGACATCCAGCTGTTGCCCTAAAGATTCCCTTCTCAATACGTAGGTAGTATGTGTCTGTATAACTGGTCTCTAAATCAGGAAACAGAGTGGTGCAGTCTCCCTCACTCAGGTTTCCAGTCATCTTCAGTGAATATTTGTTAACTGACCCACTGCTGTTGAAAATAACAGCCTCTGGATCCTGATTCAACTTTGTACTAGCTCTGAGCCAAACTCCATTGATGGGTCCATTGTTGTTATATGTATAATGTGTTGAACTGAAGCTGCATGGGATTTGCAAACAAGATCCACTGAGAGCTTCGATCTGTCCAGACATGTGGGCAATGAGATCTGGATTGGGACAACCAGCCAAATAATCTGTGAAAAGAGATTCACAATAAATATAAGGCAGAGCAAATTCTGTCTGCAGAGAAAGTCCATGGTCCATAAACTCCAATTCAACTGGGGAATGTTGCCTGCAAAGCTTTTAAATAACATCAGGATCGTACAGACGAGAAACGATTCACACAATCTCCAAGTAAAACAAGGTGAACAAACATCTCACCGGGAAGAAAGAAGACACTCAGTAACATGTTGACTGCCAGCATGTTCTCAGACAGACTCTGGTGGAGCTTCATCTCTGGAAACACAGTAGACCATCTGCTGCTGGCTCTTAGATTGATTTGGCTTTAAAGTTTGTTTTTCTTTCTTCACAACTTCTGCAAATTCACCTAATCAAATGCAAAACTGTCATCTAGGAACAAAAATGGTCACAAGTTGAAATCAATATATTTGTAACATTTGTATAAACTTACCAAATGTCCGGCGAAAACAAGTTCAACAAACAAGCTGCTGGTTTGAGGAAACTGCAGAACCAACTGAGCACTAGTTTATTTTCAATGCAAGTATTTTCTCGCTTCTTTTTTTTTTGCTCGTCTCCTGTCACACCTCATCACTTCCCTAAAACACATCAACTTCAGAGTTGAGCCTTTATAAATAGCTATGACTTTACTTCAGTTTACACAGAATGCTTTTTACTTTATTTACTGTTTTTGTTGCATGTCAGCTGAACAACTACTCTACTCCAGTATATCAAGTTATGCCAGTCAGCAATATGATGTTATCTGTTTTACATCCACTGATGCTGGGAACAAACCCAACACTCATTAATGTCCATACATGGATGCTTTCTTTATATTTAAAAACAATCTCTGTAGTCACAATGGAAAGAGCAAAGTCAGGAAGAGACATTAGGCCAGAGACTGACCGTCCATCCGTCCGTCCGTCCTTGTCCCTGGTGGCGCTGGGAGAGTTGCTGGTTCCTCCAGGTCACCAGTCCATCGCAGGTTTTTTCATTATACTTCAATTTTATTTTGTTGTGACGTGTTGAGATCCAGTCAGTTTTAATCAGTTATCAGAGTGCTGTTGCTAGTTTTTATCAGCTTCTGTGACTTAAACATCGCTGGCGTTCGCTTCAGTTTTTCATCATTTTAGTTTTTTGATTTACTTCGGTTAAGTTTTAGGTGCAGAATTAAAGTAGGTGGATGTATTGCATTTTCATAATGTCTACGGCGATTGGTTAATGTCAACAAAAGATGCTATTTAAAAAAAAATTGATTCACTTAATGTGGAACCAACCAGCGGGATAACCATCATCTCAGAAGTGAGGGAGACAATTCTTTCATAGGTCTGTTGATTTAGCATCCTTTCACATTCAGTAGCACCTCTTCTTAGTAATTGATTGATTTTAGCCACTAAAAGCCTCAGTGCAACATGAGGGGACCAACTTTCGCTCTTTGAACTGCATACCGACAAAATCCAAAGTGTTAAAGTGCTAAGTTGGAATTTTAGTTCATTAAAATTCCAAAGTGCTGAGTCCAATTATGAATAAGCTAAAAATACTTACGTGAAAGAAAGCGCAAATGAGGAATCGGGTTTTGCACTGTTTGAGTAGAAACTTATGGATCATCAAAGTTGCAGAAAACTCGAGTGTTTGGAATTCTGGCTCTTTTCAGTGAGACGCTTCTCTTGGATCGGCTCACTGGAATACACAAAGGGTTGACTCACACATTGTGTCTGCTATCTTTAATGCTCGACATGTAACTTTTAATGCGTGACACTGAACTGTCCATCGCGTTCCGTGTTTTTGTTTGGTTTTCAACAGTTTCTCGTCTTAATTTCGATCACTTTCACAAGCATTTCTTGCAGAAGACTGAAGACGTTACATTTCGCTCCTGAGTAAACCTGAGACACTTGGAGCCGAAAACGCTTCAGTCAGTGAGACAATGCAACTTTCAGGACACTTTACGTGACTCGGACAATGATCGAGAACAGAACCACGCTGGGAAGGTATGACGTCACAAACGATGATGTCACACACACACCCAGCCTTATGATGACGCCCAAGTGATGCCCTTTGATGTTACAGCTGTCAGCTCACAGCTTTTGTCTGAGTCGACAGAATTCTCTCCATTTCGCTTGTGAACACAAAGCTCACCTTACCCACATTTTGCTTGACTGGCCGAGCGGGAAAACTCAAAATGTGCAAAACCGAGAGGCAGAAAGCATTAGCTGCCTATTTTGATCCTGAAAAGATGCGCAAGAAGAACAACAGGGCGCTCCAGAAGCTCCTGAAGATCAATGAGGAGCTCGAGAACGACTCCGACCGCAGGGCCCGTTTTCGCAATCGGTTTAGACTGGAGAAAGAGGAGAAGGTGTTTTTCGAAGAAGCCGAAAAGCGACTTCTTATGCTGAACTCGCAATCTGACATCTGGGCAGATGAGGAAGAAAAACTGGATAGTTTATGCAAAAAGAGAGATATGCTTTTCGGAATATTGAAAGACACGAGCGATCAACTCCTTGAGGAATCCGTAATGAAATCAATGATCAGGGCGGCCAACCAACAGCATGAAAGGCTGAATTATCTTCACAAAGTGTTAAAGAAAAATATCCGCACCTTGACAAAGCAGCTTGTGAATCAAACTAAAGTGTTTGACGAGTACACAGAGAAAGGAGTGGAAACAAGGGAGATGATGATGATTCAAGACTGCTACTTTAAAGAGCTGAGGAAGAAACTGAGAGTGTTCAATGTGTCCAGCGTGAAGAAAAAAGTTACGGCAGAAGAGGAACGTGTGAAGGAAGCAGTCGACAAGAATCATCGCCTGGAGGAAATGATCAAAACCTTGAAACATCAAGCGATTAATGTGCCCATCTTGAAATATCAGTTTCAGTGTGCAGTAGACGAGGAACGAAGGCTCAAAGACCTCAACATCGAGTTAGACAAGGTGATTCAGATCTTGACACAGAAACTAGCCGATCAAACTAGGTGGGAGACCACTTACCAGGACGTGGAAAGGAGGGTCAATAATATTAAGGAAATTAACCATTATCACCTGAAGAAGTTTGAGGAGTTGACGGGGAGAAACCTCAGTGTTGGGAGCGAATCAATGCTTTCCTTGTTCACACAAGACAGAAGTAAGAAACAAAACTTGGCCAAACGCTTGCATACTTTCAAGTCTAAAATTCATAATCTGCAGAAGGAATATAAATCCTTTCAACCAGAAATTGTGATGTTTCTGGGGGACCTTACCCCTTATTGTGCAGCCGAGAACTCAGAAACTCCTTCCATTCCTCCGGCTGTGGCCTATGCGTTAACAGGACAGACGTATGAACACAGAAAACCAGAGAAGTTTTCCGATGAGTCTTCAAGTGACATTGACAATGAATTAAGTGACTCAACAGATGACTCCAGTGACATTTTCAGCCCGAAAAGCAGTCATGCAGTTCGCAGGTTCACCAAGATACTTGAGAATAGAGCATTTATAAGTCAGGAATCAGAGAATGAGTCAACAAAGTCAAGAGGTACCGACTCTCCAACTGAAAGTTCAGAAACAGAGGACACGTCCGACTGCAAAGGATCAATGGATGAATCACCACTGTCTTCATTTTCCAACGTAGGCCAATGGTGGAAGGAATGGTGGAGGTACTTTTTCTGAGTGAAGGATGGAGGGACGGTAAAAGGTATGGCTAGGGTTGGGGAAAATGTGTGGGTTAGCATAATCACAGTTTTGTAAAATGAGTGGAAGTTAATGAAAAGTCCTAATATTGGTAGAAATAAAAACCTATTTGACCTATGTGTCTGTTGCTGTTTGATATTCAAATTGTGTAGGTTTTCTCCGGGTGCTCTGGTTTAGCTGTTTAAAGAAAGAAGTGTTCAAAACTTGATGATTTAATGGTGACACTCCTCAAGAATCCACATCAGCTAGTTCAAAGATTTCCTTCCTGGATATCCCAGGAACAACATCAGACATCTCAGTCCAGAAATGTGCAGTCCTTGGCACATCCGAAAACGCTTCGGCTGTGCAGAACCCTCAAGCTCCCAGGCCTCTGGTAGAGGACCAGAGCTCAGAGGATAAGAACCACCGGCGGTGGGTGAGAAGGGAATTTTTTTAGATTTATATATATATAAAAAATTAGTGCCAGAAGAGGGCCCACATGTTCTCACGTGTGTTATAGGAGGTCAAAGTGTGTTTGTAAGACTTACCGGCTGTCAAGAAAGACAAATCGCCAAAATACATCTGTGTTCTCTAGAACGTGTTATGTGCTCATTGTAATGACTCATAATTTCCTCATATAATTCATTCATGCTGAATTCTGCCTCCATTTTCCCAGGTGCTTTGCTTTGCAGGTGAGACTGCTGGTAAAGCTTTACACTGCACTGGAGTTCTGTTATGCACATTGGTAAGTGGTTTTGTGGCAACGAAATCGTTGCCACAAAATTGCTTTGAGGCAACGGTGTTTTGGTTTGTTGCCCAGCGTAACTGGGCAACAAAACATTTTCAGTACTTTCTCCAGGATACAACAGAAGCACATGCTCTTTGAATGTCTATCAAGACATTTAGTTATATAAATATATAAAAACAAAATCTGAAAATATGTTGAGCTTTGTTATTTCTTTATCTTTATTGTCTAATTCTTTTTTTATTATTATTAGTGAGAAGAACGACCAAAATGTCAGTGTGTTAGTGCAAAGCTGCAAAGGTGCTCCAGCATAATCACCATGCAAAAACCACATCGTCCTTATTTAAACAAATCTGTTTTCTTTGTGAGCCAACAAACCTAAACGCAAATAGATGGGAATATTCTTCATTATTTATATTTTGATGAACAAAAAAAAAAAAAAAACAATTTAAGCAATCATTCTTGAACATGCTTTGTGAGAAAAACAAATGAAACGATGCCAAAGAGAAAAATAAATGATACATCAAGAACATTGTTGTTGAATATGGAGCATTTAATTTAAGATGGTGTGCATGCAGGCTCCTCTGTCATGACGACGCAAATATATGTACAATTAAAAATCAGTCAGTGTTCTTGAGAACATTTTTCAAAAATATATTATGGCTTCAGAGATTCGCTTCTTGATCATGTAAGCAAAGTGGATGAACTTTATATTATAATATATATATATATATAAATATATATATATATATTTCCTTTCTACAACTTAACTGAGTTTATAAAACAGTTTCAGGACCAAAGATCGATAATAAAGTAATGATAATCATGACAGGATTATGAGACCAGTGGGTTTAAAACTTTCCCCCACTGAACTCTGTCCAAAACCAACAAGTCAAAATCTTGTGTGAGCAAAAAGTCAAGCCTTCTGGCATAAAACGTGTCATATTTTCTTTGCTTGAGCGCAGAGATCTTCCGCAGCGGGAGCAGACACCTTGACCTGAGAGTACAGCGTCTCCTGCTGCCTGCTGTCCTGTGCTGACCTGGAGGGAGCTCCAGGTCTCTGCAGGAAATTCACCTCTTCATAATGAAGTTTTTCTTCTCTTCCGTTGGCTGGTTCTTCAACAGCAGCATCCTCGCCTGTTAGACTCTGTGGGAAAAAGAAGCACGTGTGTTTGTTCATGTTGAAGGTGCTACTTATCGGCAGGCGGAACAACGTAAACGGTGCATTGAACATGTCTCTACCTGGGTCTGTTGTGGAGTTGGACGTTTGCCCTTCAAGCACCTGGAAGACATTAGAATAAATTTACTGAGTTTCAGGAGACAAAACAGAGGCTCGGACTAAGAGAGTCAAAGCTGGTCTGGAACTAGCAGGGGAAGAACAGCAGTAAAATGAAATTATCATAGATTAAAGTAAAGAAATCAATAATAATAGATAACTGGAAAGTGTGCAATTCCTATGAAAATGCAAGTGTGAATGCTGAATGCTCAATGCTTTTGCTGAAAATGGCGAAAGCATTTGTAGCCGACCTGAGACATGAACTGTGAAACGCAAGACATTTTATATTGTAATTTGCAATTCTGCACAGGATGTGGCTGTTTACCTCTATTTCTATGGGGGTGAAAAATTCATAAAAAGCTGAATATCGTCAAAAGTATGAAGGTTACGAATACCAGAAGATGCAGCCGGCATTAGGAGGGCACGCTGAATAGCGTTAAAGTTGAACGGTGAAAAGAGCACAAAGTATGTTGGAGAAGAAGCGCAGCGAAAAAGTGAGCAACCAGAATAAAAATAAATAGAAACAGAAAAAAAAAACTATTCCAGATGAGGCTGCATCACCAGTGACTGGCCGGACATGCATCCGCCTGAAACATGACGAAATCTTTTTCCAAATTTTACATATGATTAAACTGAAGTGCTGTTGTTTCGTGAGTTTAGATCACTTATGTCTGATACTCACCAAGCACAAACAACAATCAGGCAGATGAACACAATGATACCCACTAAGATACCCTTCCAGTATAGAGGACTGCCTGTTGAACCAGAGGTGGAAAAAACACATTTAAATATTAATTATAAATAAAAAATCTCAGGATGGAAATCATCTTTAAGCATTTAAATACACAAGAATGTGTTATAAAACAATAGTTACCTTTGTTTCTTGTAACGATTATTGATGACGTTTGATTCCCCAGATCATTTGTGGCCACACAGTAATACTCTTCTCCCTCAGTAACATTAAAGCCATAAATCGGCCCCACAGACACATTCATGACTCCATGTTCACTGATCCTGAACCAGGTGAATCTGGGTGGAGGTTTGGCTCTGCTGGAGCAGCTCAGCTCCACCCAGCTACCTGCTGACACCAAACCTGATGGACTGATGGATGCTGAGGTGTCTTTAGGAGCATCTGAGGAAAATGAGACACATGAACTTTATTGATCAGAACCAGCTGAACCATGACCTGCTGACAGGATCACTTACATGAAACACTGAGAGTCACTTCTGTGTCTGCTGTCTTGATTCCTCCAATCACAGGATATCTGGCAGAACAGCTGATGTTGTATCCATCATGTGTGTCTGACAGAGTGATGATCTCCTGGATTTTAGTTGTAAAGGTTCCATCTGTGTTTTTCTCTGTGTGTCTGAGAGAGTCTTGTTGGAGATTCCAGGTGAGTTCAGGAGGTGAGTTTGGACAGGGAGTGAAAGCTGAGCAGGTTACAGTGACAGACTGATGCTCCTTCAGGTCAGAGGTCACATTAATGCTGGGACTCCGAGGAGAATCTGGAGTTTTAAAGCAGAAATTTGTAGAAAATGACCGAGTGACCCCAAACTCTTCCACCTCTCCAGACAGTGAAACATTAATAAACAGCCTTTTCAACACTAGACTCGTGTCACAGAACTTTTAAAGCAAGATTTTCTCACCTTTGACTTTTATCTCAAGTGGATCACGACAAGCTGTGGCTTTGAACGGCCCGTTCTCAACTGTGAAGAAGTATCTATCTGCATGGCTGGAGTTTAAGTCATGAAACAGACTGGTGCAGTTTTTCTTTGTCAGGTTTCCAACAATATCCAGTTGATGGGTATTTTCTGTCCTAGAGCTGTTGAAAATAACATTTCTCGGATCACCGTTAAAATCTAAGTTATGCTTCATCCAAATTCCAACGACAGTTATCCTGTTGTCAAATTTTGTCGGACTTGTGTTAAAGCCACATGGGATTTGCTAACAAGATCCAGTCAGAGCTTCAATCTCCTTTGGTGCTGTGATGAAGAGGGCTGGTGTCGTACGGTTACAGGAATCAGCCAAAACACCTTAAGGAGAGATAAATGATGAGCATAACGTGAAGCAACAACTTCCTGTAGAGAGAAACATCCATGGTCCATAAACTCCAGTTGTTAAACATGAAAGTCTTTAAACAAGATTAAGATCAAATATTTCAGACTGGAAACATCTCACCTGGCAGAAGGAAGACACTCAGTAACACGTTGACTGTCAGCATGTTCTCAGGCAGAGCCGCCATCAGGCTCTGATGGTCCTTCATGTATGGACAAAGACGTGAAGGCTAAAATCACCACTGGTTGTCAATAGTTCCAAAATAACGACAGACAGATGTTTTGCAACATCCTGTTGGTGCAGAACGATGTTGAGTCACATCACATGAACAGCGGAGGCTGTGAACAAATTACACTGTTGGTTTCGAGGAGGTTGGAGTAATTTTGGGTACGCCAGTGAAAGTGTAACCGGTATACATTTCATGTTTTATTGCAACACTTTCTTTCATGAAATTATTTGAAGTGTAAAGGCAGCAAGAAAATTTGCGGTTCGAGCAAACAAGGTCAACTATTTTTATTTCGTCAGTCTGAATGACATACACACAAAAAAAAACATTGACAGGATTAAATGCGCAAATGCCCACTGAATACTTTGAACATAAACATCATCATGAAGGCAGCTGTTTTTGCATGTTTATTTAAAATAAAATGGACAAACAGACATATTTTTCTGCAGTGTAAGTTTCATAGCAAAAGTACTTTTTTCTTGAAGCTTTTGTGTTTCTATACTTTCTTGTGTACCGCTCCTTTTCCGTTTGTGGCTCTGCTGTGACACAGAGGAAAAAAATATCTGTGCCTTTTACAGTAGTGTCTTAAAATAGATTTCTGTTAGTGACTATTTTTACCGAAACTCTTGCTAAACCCATAAAAACTTACAAAGACGCCATGACATCGTCGTCTTGGATTTCTCCAAAATATTTATAATTGTGGTTCAGAATAGTTTGAAGAAAGAAAATAGAAAAAAAAAAAAAAACTTGTCACATCTTTCTGGTTTTAAGTGAATAGAAATAGTTTCATGATTGGCGAAAAATTGGAGAGTTTGTCTCCTTTTATTTTGAAATAGTTTTACTCCGAACGCATCATGTCGCGCGGAATTCTCCCATTGCCAGGCAACCGTCAGAATTAATTTTTCGCAACTGACAGGTTTTTTTTTTTTTTTTTTGTCACCTCTGGGGGAGCTGTGTTTTTTTTGTTTTGTTTGTTTTTTGTGTGTTTGTTTGTCTGTTTTTATTTGTTTTTTAAAGTTGCCTTTTTTTTAAGTTGTCTCTGAGAGGTTTTCATGGGTGAGTACGGTGTAAACTTGAAAAACAATGCGTCAAAATGGGATTTATGTTATTTAACATAGGTCAACTTTCAGATCTAAATCACGCTTTACTATTTAGTAAACACTACTTCAATGCTTTATAACCTTATGTACAAAGATATATGAGAAATGTCAGATGAAATGGAACCAGGCACTTCTATTATATATATATATATATATATATATATATATATATATATATATATATATATATATATATATATATATATATATATATATATATATATATATATATATATATATGACCTCACTCTGACCTCACTTCCCCAGCTTTCCATCCTCCCTCACCCAGATTGATAGAGGATCCCTAACATCTTTTAAAGAGAGCCTCCTTTATCTGATTTTATTAGTTATTTCATTAGCAAGTTTTGAAGCAATATGCATGTTTATTTCCAAAAACAAAGATTCGGTCAGTTTGAGTAAAATGCACTGCTCCCGTTTCCTTAGCAACCCCCAGTCTCCAGAAAGTGGACCTCGAGAGGAGTCAAAGGGACCAAGCAGCAAAAATACTCCAGAGGGGCTGGAGAAGATATGTGGTACGTACTTAATGTATTTGTGACAGGTTTTCATGCTTGTTTAGCTGTTTCACATGTTATTGCTTTACAGTCAAAAATCCTCATGAGTTTTATTGGGATTTTTTATTTGTGATCGCTCAATGTAAAGTTTGACTGATGTTTATTTAGTGCTGCTGCTTCAGTCGCATGTTTTTTTGTATTATATCTACCAGATTTGCACAGAAAATATTGTGCTTTGCAAAATCGTTTGAGCTTTGAATTCTGATCTTTTTGTTTTTGTTTTAGGGGAATCAGTGTAAAGGGGTCTAAATTAATTGCATGCAAAAGATTTTCAAAAAACTGTTGAAAAACAATCAATTGTTTTCCTTCCACTTCATAATCCTGCACTACTTTGTGTTAGTCTACCACATAAAATCCCAATGAAATACAACAAAGTGGTTGATGGTTGTAATATGAAACCAATCCTGATACTGTCAACACTGCAGTGCAAAGAAGTCTTCAGGCATGTCAAGAGGATGATCGGCCAATGCTACCGGCAAGATCCTAAGTCACTTCTGAAAACCGTCAATCCTCGAGAGGTAGTGGACTGATATAGACGAAACAAAAATATCTCAGTCAAACGCAAAACTATTCAAATCCGACTGTGTCTAACAGGCAGAGCTGCTCGATCCTGCGGCCGGTGTGTTCATCCGATTTCGACTAGGAGGGGTAAGTGAGTAACAGGGGGAAAGTTGTAAATAAATCTCCACATATTCGTAAAATATTTGTACGAACAAACCTGCTCATGCTAAGCCTTTACTTTTCGTTCAGGTCAGTTTTCCTCCCCAGGTGTACTACAAGATCTTCACCTACCGGCCTATTGTGGATGTATGTGCAAGCAGCCCCAAGAACTACAATCAGCTCCTGCGCATGAGGCATCTGACTGAGGAGAGAGATCCGACTCTGCTCACAACGGACCAAACGGATTGGTACCAACGTGTGGAGAACAACAACTGGAGGATCTTCTCTTGCAAAGTAAGGGGGAAAAAATACATATAGAAAATATGTATATATATATATTCTGGTGATCAGAGAAAGCTCGTCTTTCAGCTACCGCATGTATATACAATGAAGTGCTTACATATCTCGCTTCTCCAACAGTTTATTGCTAAGCAAGAATTTGTGGATAGTATTGTGGTCAAACAGATAGACTTTCATCCGTCGAAGTTGCAGCGGATAGAAGATTTGAGGAAATGGAGGAAAAGGAGGAAGATAGAGTGGTTGAAGCGGATGTGAGTTGAAGAGAGAGATGCTGCTTAACAGTTTTTAACAAATATCTAAATAACAAAACTATATGTATTTGTAAAAGTCACATATCACTGTTTTGATAAAACATACAAATAACCGTAAAACTTTAAACTCTTAACTGCATCTGGTGCTTTTTGTTCATGTTTTGTCAAATCTTTCCTTCTGACTGAATAAACAACTCAATTCAACATGTTCTATGTAGAGAGATCTGTATTTTAACTATAGGTTTAAGTTTGCCCAGCAGGTGACAGTATAGGTGACATCAATATCAACGACATTAACATTTTTTGCAAGATCACAGCTGAAAGATTTCCCCAAAGCATATTGCATATACAAATTTTTTTCTTTATTGCTTTTTTAAAATTTTTATCTGCAGGTGTTTAGTCCACACTTTTACACAAAAACAAATTCCTTAAATATCTCCATTTTAGAGATGTTTTTTTAATTGCTGTTTTTTCACCAAAGTTCTGTCTGTGGTCTACAAGGTAAAAACACAGAGAAGCATCTCAGTTGTCTAAAATCTAACAGAAGTGCATTTGACTATTACTTATCTTCCTGCTACATGAAGGTACAGAGACGGCCAAGAGGAAGAGGAGCAGAAGCAGTCTGAGTTGTTGACAGTGGCGAAGAAAACAGTGAAGGACGTGATGCACTCTATCGAAGATAGAGGAGAAGATGAAATACTGGACTGGGAGCTGGACGAAATATTAGCTTGGACTAGCAGCCTCAACTTTGAGGAGTGAGCTCTTTGATCATTTCTTTTCAATGTGCATTTTTACATCGTCCTGTAAAACTAAAGGTGCTTCCACACCATGGATCAACAGACTTGGTTCCATTGGACAGATGGAAAACTTCCTACCTTCATTCCTTTCTTTTCACACTCGCTGGTCCCTCCAGATTTTTGCAGTTGTCTTCATGATCAGCATAAATTCGCACCACTTTAAAAGTTCTCAGATCACATATTTGTTTTGTTTATTTCTCTCTTTGGTTCTCTAATTTCATTTCTCATCTGATGAAATGAAATTAGACTCTCCTATCCATCTCTGGTGTAAAAGCTCCCTTATGTTAAGTTTTGCCTTGATATTTTTGCTTATGCAGTTACTGGGAACAGTGGAAATGCCAGGCCTGCAGTGAGACATCGGAGATGACCAAAGGTTAACAAATGTCTTTTGTGAACCTTTGACACAAGGTACATTTATCTTTTCATCGCACTGCTTTTTTTTTTTTTTTTTTATCAAAATGAGTTTTTTAGTTTTCATGGATTAAATATGATTTCAAGAAAATCATTTGTGGTATTTTACCTCAATGTTCTCTGTTTCCCCAAAACAGATCGTCCAACAATATCGCCAGTGGATCTGACTCACCTCGGAGCTCCACTAACTTAGAATAAAAATCAGAATGGCAACTGGACTCTGTCTCCAAAAGCTTTACTGGGTATTTACTACATTACGTTGCTGCCATTTGTGTGATCAAGTCGTTTTTAATTCACCACTCTGTGAGTTTCTGCTGTAAATAAGATTATTTACTCATCCAATTTGAAGTATATTCAGAACTTGAATATGAAAAAGTAATAAAAAGTAATAAAAAGTAATAGATTAATCTATTCTATTCCGGTTTAGACATATTGTTCTACAATTTTTTTGTTTGTTTGTTTGTTTGTTTGTTACAAAAAAATATATATCTCAGATCCTCTCAAATTATAAATGGTATCACTTTTAACAAATATATTTTGCAAATGTATTTTAAACTTATCTTACAGAATATAATAGTCAACCAAGAAGTAAAATTTAATTAATTTTAACTTAAAGAAGAATGGATTACTTGGACCTCTGTAACGTTTTCTACTAATAATCCTAGCAGCTCTGTTTTGCAAAATAAAATCAATTTGTATATACTTTACAGGCCTAAACTTCTACTCATAGGGAAGAGTCAGTGAATTGTATAATACCAACACTTTACTCTCCCTTGGGGACTAGAGAATGACCTGTACATAAAGTTTTTTTTAAAGTTATTATTGATTATGTCTGTGCATGACATCTTAAAGTCATACGTATAGAATAAGAGACGCAAAAATAGACTGATTGTTATTTTTATGTTTTTCCGTTTTTTTGTCACTTCACATGTTTTGGAACAATATCCACCACTAATTGTTGAAAAATATTTTGTCAAAAAGTTCAAGCAAAGAACAAAAGAGGGGGCACCCGGATTTGAACCGGGGACCTCTTGATCTGCAGTCAAATGCTCTACCACTGAGCTATACCCCCGATGTCTCTATCGCTTTAGCATTTTAGTATTAGACATATGCAGGTCATGTGTGGCGGGAGCGGCGAAATATGGTACTTATGTATTTTAATAAAATCGGAATTTCAATACAACAAACTATGTGATGTCAGCACCACAAAATCTCGTGAAAACATTTCACGCATTACGAGGCAGTTTGTAGGGGCGGAGTTTCGACCGGATGTTTCGTTTGTACCACTCGACGCAGGCGGATGTAAAGGCGCATGAAAAGGAAAGCGTAAGGAAAGGAGACACAATGGTATGGTGGCATGTTTATATCACTTTTTACATTTTCTGTCGGCGACAGACTCGAGCCCATTGCGCCATAGTATTTACATTTACACATTGTATCGTCCCGTCCTACGTAGCGTTTCGTCTGCTCATGTTGTGGGGCTGACTCCTGAATTTGATTAGTCACTAGAGCTAATGCTAAACTAGAGCTAACGGTAGCTAACATCGATGTTTTCTCATACAATGTCAGCTCCTAATGTTTGCACACATTTTGTTTTAGTTCATTGTGAGCAGATATGAAGGTTGAATGTGTTATTTTTAAATATCTTTGTATATTTGTGCGTCACAGAACAGCCGCGGACTCCGTTCTCAGCTCAAAGACAGCGTCCCTGTGGCAGGACTGTGTCCGCAGGGAGCTTACGGGGTGCAGGACTCTCTGCGGAGCGGGTAAGAAACTATGGGATGTGTATTTACATAATTGAAATTGTGACTTCAATTATGGCTTTTTTTTTGTTGCTTTTCTCTGCAACAGCTTCACGAGTGTAAAGAATGAGCTTCTTCCAAGCCACCCACTGGAGCTGTCAGAGAAGAATGTAAGTTATCCAGTTTGTGTCCTTTAAGTTTCGTCCTCATGGCTCAAGCTTTAAAAGATATCCTGGATAAATAAGACCCCTTCATTGGCAGCTCAACAGATGCCTGTTCATATATATATATATTTTTTTTTTTATTAATTTTTTTCTCCCCTTTTTTGCTTGGAAATTAAAGTTTATAGAAGTGTGAATTGGGAATAACTAATAAAATGGAAAAGTTGCAGGGCTCTGACCAATCAGGTTTTTCATGTTTTAACTGTTCTATCTTAATTCCACTAAATACAACTGGTACGCCACCAGTGGCACTTCGACCACAGTTTGAGAACCATCAGTATTCAAATTCGACCTATTTCGTTCATCCCAAATGAAAAATAAATGCCGTCCTAACTCATTTCCTCCCAGGACTCTCAAAGAGTCACTGTGGATGGTCACGCTGTGGGGAGGAAGGATATCCAGTAGCAGTCAGTCTTGCAGTGAATCTGAAGAGGCCTCTGACTGAAGACTGTTACTTTGTAACAGCTTCATGACTGTCCTGACATTTTGGTGGCCCACTTACCTTCAGAGCTCATATTCTGCTTTGTTCTGGATGACCAGCAGTTGTTGGCATATGCTGCTAATCCAACCCATTTGCTTTTGCTCCTCCTCTTTGAAACCTCCGTCTGGCTATATGTGCCTGCGGGCTGATTACCGTTGTTTCTCTCTGTGGTTTACAGTTCCAGCTCAACCAGGACAAGATGAATTTCTCTACGCTCAGAAACATCCAGGGTCTTCATGCTCCACTCAAATTGCAGATGGAGTACAGAGCAGCCAGACAGGTGAGGGGCAGTCCACCCCATCGACAGCCCCTTCCCTTTAATCTCCCTGTTTTTATAAATTATTTTCAAAGTCTCCGCTATCAGTCCTGATGAAAGGGGCTTCTGTGTTCCAGATCCAGCGTCTGCCCTTCTTACCCAGCTCCAACTTGGCTCTGGACACCTTGCGAGGAAGCGATGAGTGCATCGGCTTCGAGGACATCCTCTGCGGTTAGTGACTCCTTCCTCAGTGAAGACTTCACTTCATTAACGATTGATCTAGCCCAAGCTGAGATGAATCTTAAATGGGTTAAACAATAAAATCCAAGGCATGTGTCCTATGCAGGTTGTTTAGAGGTTCAGAGTCGGTTGTGTTTACGTGAATGTGATTGAACGCTGATCGGTGTCAACGGGAAGCCTGATCACCTGTCTGTCTGTTTGCCTGCAGATCCAGGCCAGAGTGAAGCGATGGGCGAGCCTCACATGATGGTCGAATACAAACTGGGATTGCTGTGAATGCTGCTGGACATAGAAAATTCAACAACATGCTTAGGTTACTTTCTCCAAAATATATTTGATTGTCCATTCCAGGTCAGAAGTTATCAGCCAGGCTGCTGCAGAGTTGTTTTCAGACACGTGTAAGCCAGAAGGCGGGCCAGATATAAATTAAACAAAGTTCTAGCTGTCACTCGAACCGGCTTTCATGGCTTCTTTTTTGTTGTGTTTGAATCTGGTTAATATTTCTAATAAATGATATTCTTCTTCATGGTCTGGTTTCATTTCTCCAACTATAAAACTTCTGCAGTGGGACTTACCTACAGTTTTATATAGTCATTAAAATCAAACTAATCAGGTAAACTATTGTCTACAGAACTTTATCATCCAATCATATGCATTGAAATAAAGCTTTAACATCTTTGCACAGCTATAAGTAGCAGTATTGTGTTTTATATAATAGGCAAAGTACTGCATAATTAAGAGTAAGCACAAGGATACAGACTTATTTTAAGCATCTGCCTTCAGAAGTCATCTAATTAGTAAATGCAAATCTAAGAAAGCCCGAAGGAGTTTCTTAGACAAACATTTAAGGTGCTGATTAAACCAAAATAAAACTTTCTGACCTACACACAATGCGAAGGGAGAAGGAGAAAGACATACCTTGTATCTGATGAAGGTAAATACAAGAAACGCCAGTAAAAACAAAACAAAACAAAAAACAGATTGACACAGTTGTAATTTATGGACGTGTGCCTCCATCGAGATGATGTAATTTTATTGTAAAGCGTCTTTGATGGTTTTAAAAGAGCCCTATGAGTTTGGTGTCATTTCAATCCACCAACTTTCTTCAATAAAATGAACCATTGGGGCAAAAGGCTAGTCTATACCGGCGGTGAGGGAGGGGAGAGAAGAAACGTAGAAGTTCTGTTACTCACTGTAGCAATCAATTGAAACCTCACCACCTTCGGACCAACCGAGCTAAAACCCTTCACTGACAACTATTTATATTGGCAAATTCTTCTGCTCAATATTAAACGGTTTTGATTTTAATTTCTGAATGGTTTTATTAAAGTACTTCAAAAGCGTAGCTCACTAACTTACTTTTACAGGAGTAAAAGTCCCAGTGGTTAAAAGTAAACCATCCTCACGGTAATAAAACCTCTTCTCAGGACGCTTTGCATGCTGGGAATAATATCGCTGCGTCCGAGGAGTTTGTCTGAAGCAACAACACGTAAGCTAGTCCGCCATGTTGCGAGTGGCATGTTCATTCCGAAAAGTATGGAAATATATTTGGCACAGAATAAGCACCTTACCTTTAGGTTGAAGGAATCGTTTACACATACAATAACATTCCAGAACTAATGATAATGACACAAAATATCTCTTCTTTTAGGTCTACAGAATATTGTTTTCTTAATAGAAATTAATATAACAATAAGGTCATCAAACTGTTCTCGCTAATTAGGTATTGCAATATGGACCCATTTATTTTTATTTAGACACGAAAATGTTTGAATAAAAATACATGAGTGATTCATTACAGTTTCTTATGTATACTTACTTGGAAAACGTTTTGTCTTAAAATTTTGGAAATTCATTGTCTTGACTGTGACAGGGACAGCTTACTCTCCGGCCACAAGATGGCAGTATAGATCCACATTAGGCTGTTTTATTTGAACCTCTCACCTCATTTGTAACCCGCCTTCTGATCTAGTAAAATGGCAATAAATGGGTCCAGTGCTTATAAAGGTTTAGGGCCAAAGCAGGTTCTTGACATGTGTGATGTATAATAGTGCCCCTGTTTCTAGATTATATATTAAATTTGCTGTCGCAGAAATCTTTCTCACATTTTAGCTTTTCAAACCATTTTTTAAAAGGTTGCATTTAAGTCCCACCTTATAGTCATCCTGCTTATGTTCTACAAGAGACTGGCGGTTCTTCTGGTGACATCCAAACATTTTCAAGACAGAACCCCGCCAGTTTTACGGATCTAAAGACTGAAATTGATTGCTTTTGTAATGCGCCAT